GCCCACCTGCCGCCTCGCCCTGGGACCTGCCCACGTGCCTTCAGCCTCGCCAGGAGCCACCTGCCGGTCGCTTCGCCCCGGGACCGGCCCACTTTCCTTCAACCCCACCCAGACGCCTGTCCACCTGCCTTAAGCCCCGCCCAGGGACCTGCCCACCTGCCTTAAGCCCCGCCCAGGAGCCTGTCCACCTGCCTTAAGCCCTGCCCAGGCGACTGCTCCCCTACATCTGGCCCCGCCCAGGGACCTTCTCACCGGCCTAGGCGCCCACCTGCGTGTGCCCTGTGCCCGCCCCGCCCACCCCGTCGCGGCAGAAGAGCAGAGGTTAAAGTTGAGCTGGCTTGGCCAAAAGCCAAGTCTGTCCAGCGCCTTGTTCCAAACCTAAGCTGGCTGCCCTCCTTCGTGCATCTTGTGAACAAATGCTGCGGTTAACCCATTGTGTTCCATCTTCCCAGATGTGAACACTGGAGACTAACAAATTTAATCTGTTACAAGCTTTGTGGAAATGTAAAATTTTAAAAAATGATTTTAAAAAGCAACACCACTATAATCCCAGCTACAAATGCATTAAGAGGTTTGCTTTGGTTAAAGTTGGGGAACCGATGGAGTAGAACTTGGCTGAGAGAAGGAATCTTCAAGACCATAAAACATCACATTCTATCTATGTGAAATATCCAGAATGGATAAATTCATACAAACAGAAAACAGATTGGTGATTCCCAGGGGTTACAAAAGGGAAGAAGAGAAACTACTTAATGTGTCTTATTCTGTTCAGTGCTATAACAAAACACCATAAATGCGTGGGCTTATAAACAACAGACATTTCTTTCTCATGGTTCTAGAGGCTGGAAGTCCAAGCTCAGGTGTCCAGCACCGTGGTGTCTGGTTCGTAGGTGTCCTTCTTCTCACTGGGTCCTCACAGCATGAAATGGTGAAGGAATCTCTCTGGAGTCTCTTCTCATAAGGCACTAATTCTTCATAACCTAATCACCCCCACCTCCAGACAAATCACAATGGGAATTACAACATTCAGTCTACAGCACTGGACTGGACTTTGGAGTGCTGAAATGTGTTGAACTAGACAGAGGTGGAGACAGCACACCACTGTGAGTGACCTAAATACCACTGAATTGTTTGTTGTGAAATAGTTATGCAAATTTCACCTCCATAAATGTTTAAAGAGAAGAGATGGGGAGGAGAGGAGAGAAGGGGTGGCCTGGTAGTGCCACCACCACAGCAGGCCAGGTAAGAGAACACCTCGCAGGGAGCAGCCTGTGCCAGGGAAGGGTGGAGGCCCAAGAGGTCCTGGGAGAGGGAGCCACGCAGGGCAGTCACGCTTCCTCTGGCTGCCGGGCTTCTGCCCTTAACACGGGCACCCCATGGGAGCAAGCTCCAACCCCACCACCAGTCCTGTGGGGCCTGGAGCAGTCACTCACTCTGCCACCCTGCCCTCCTCACCCGCTCCTGGGAGGCCTGGACAGCCCCGCGCTCCAAACCCCGTCCTGCACACAGTCCACCCCATCCACCTGTCTCGAAAGCTCTGTGACCCCCATGATGGCCAGATGGCTTCTCTCCTTTTAAATGAACACAAGGGCTAATTATTCTTCCAGGAATTGGGAGCTGGGCCTCGTCCCCTCTGAAGACTACAGACCCACCCACCGCTCCCTGAAGCCCCATTCTGTAGTTCCTTGGTGGCAATTCTCTCCCAAAGGCCAGTGGACACCTCCCTCACCAGGGCAAGAAAACGCTCTCCAGCGGCCCCCACTGCACAACCCCCCTGCACCCCTGCCTGCCTGCCTGCCTGGTCTGTGCCCATCATGGGCCGCCCACATCAAACCCTGCGTGTGCAAGGGAGATCCCCTTCACTGTCACCTCCCCCTCCGTTCTTTCTCAGCCCCACGTCACTTGCTCCATGAAGGAAGACTGCAGTCCTTCCTGAATGGCCTCCCGCCTTCACCCTGCCTCCACCGCAGCTTCATCATGGCCACAGTCAGCCAGTCCCACTCCTCACTTAAAACCTTGGCTGTCACTGAAGGCTGGCCTGGAACCCTTCGAATGCCGCACCCCGTGATTTAGGCATTGTGTTTTGCTCATGATTGCTCAACTAACACTTACAAGTGGAATTTAGACACGTTAAAATTTCAAATGTATTCATGCACATATCAAGTTCAGATCTCCAGTCATTGGTGTGCGCTGGGAGCCCAAGAGAATGGGAGTCGCAGGATTTCAGCATTGATCGTACTAGGAACCAAGAGTCCTTCTGGTGCTGTACGCAGTGGGTGTAAGTCTCCTGTCCTGGGGTCACACATGTCTCTCCTGCTTGTCCTTTCACGGCTCAGGTTTAGGTTGCTCCTCTGCAGCTGGAAAAGCAGAGGCTATTGTCCTAATTGAGTTTTCATGAATGACGACGCGGGGTCTTGACCAGTTAAAGCACTTCCTCCGGGTCTCTGAGGCTCTCCCCTAACCTGGAATCTTCCAGAGGCTGTTGTGGAAGGCTGGCTGGTGACCATGCTGTTTGAACCAGGGCCAGGCAGTAGATGTGAAGAAACGACCCTAGTTTCTTTTCATACGTGCTTAACCACGCAGCTTCCCTCAGTGATTCATGAAATACCAACCTTTCCCCAGTCTCTCCTAGGAACACAAGTCCAGTTGTCCCAGGACAACACACTTGTCACTGAGGCCTGTACTTACCTATAGGCCTCAGATTGTCCCACACAGGAGGGGAGCCTGGTCCATTTATATTCCCTTCCACGGTGAATATCTCTGGGGATGTTTTGCTGCAAGTTTTCCACACCTTGAGAGAATGAAAACAGGGCAATGGTCTGGCCACACTTGACTTTTCAAAGGTCCTTCTGGGGATGGTGTGGCACAGAGGACCCCCTGGAGACATTTATGAAACCTACTTGAATTCGCACGGTAGAACAGGGCATGGAGGGAGCTGGGGCACTTGCACTCTGTATACCGTCTTGGCCTGATTTTGGACTCAAATGCAAACACTGGCTGCTCTTGGCTCTCAAGCCTGCTGGACTGTGGACTGGAACTCACACCACCAACTCTCAGGGCTCTCTAGTTTGCTGACTGCAGACTTCTCAGCCTCCATAACACACGAGTCAATTCCTTATAACATATGATGATACTCTTCCTTAAGTAGCTCCAATTTCTGATATATCATTTTTATTTATTTTTTACTCCAAGAACTTTTTAACATTTCTTGTAAGACTCCTGAAAAATTCCCCCAACTTTTGTTTTTCTAAGAAAGACCATATTTCTTCTATAATTTTGAAGGCTAATTTGAAAGGACATAGAATTGTATGTTGTCATTTTTTTCTCTCAACCATAAATATTTTATTCCACTCCTTGCTTGCATGGTTTCTGAAAAAAAGATTGCAAATTTTATCATCACGGTAGTTATCTTTTTCCTCTTTCAAGACTTTTAAAATATGGCGGGCCTGGTTGTAGTCTTTTGGCATTTATCCTGTGTGGTACTCTCTGAGCTTCCAGGAGCTGTGCTTTGAGGTCTACATTTGTCTGAAGGCCCAATCCTTGTTGCTTTAATCATTTCCTGTTTCTTCCTTTCTGTTCTTCTGATATTCACGTTATGCTCACATTACGCCTCCTACTGTAGAAGGCTGTCCTGCCACCTGGGATGGTCTGTGGATATTTCCCTCTCTTTTATTCTTTTTCTGCTTTGGAAATCCCTGTTGACATGTCCTCATGTCAGGGACATGTTCAGGGATCTTTTTCCCAACCATGTAGTTTGTTTTCAGTTGTGATTCTCTACTCACCTGGAGGTCTCTCCAGTTCTGGGGGTAGCAATTTGCCTGTGACATCACTTTGAATCCAAGAGTGGTTGATTTTTCAGTTGGTTCGGCTTTCCCTTGTTAGCAGAGTGGGGACTGCCCAAGTCCATACAGGCGGACACTTATTCCATTGTGTTCTTGCTTGGATAGTTCCTACCAAGAAGTCTGCTTAACTGTTTCTTTTCCTGCCTATAATGATTCTTTTTCTTCTGTCATCAAGACATTTACCACTACTTTGGTTTCAACTGTTTGACTTATGATGTGTGGGACTTGTGTGAAATTCTAGCACCTATAACTTCCTTCACCTTGGACAGTTCTTGGCCATTCTCACTTGGTATTTCTTGCCCTTGCCTACCTGCTTCCTCGGGGACTGATTTTAAACATGGACTATTTACTTTGTCCCACAGTTTTCTGATGCTCTGTGCTGTTTCTCCACCTCTGCTCTCATCCCTTGCTTTAGATAATTGTTAGGAACCTTTAAGTTTGCCAATTGTTTCTTTAGCTGTAACAAGTTTTGTGAAGGATTTTCCCTGATATAGTAGACTTGCTTGGTTTATTTTTCTAATTTCCATTTGACTCTTTTCTTATCCATTTCTCTGCTCAAGTTTCTAGTTTCTGATTTCTCACTAGATATATTAATATACATCTTAAATTCTAATAGTGCAATATCTGTTTGACCTCTGAACTGGGTTTTTACATTAAAAGCCAGACATCACGTGTGTAACAGAAGGAACGATGCCAACTGTGTTTACAACTGGCAATGTGTCCCCTTCTGTCAGATCACTGGTTTGGGATCACTGATGCAGACAGGAGTTCAATGGGTTGGGACTGGACTGTTGCGCCGCAGTCTTCAAATCCCTTCAGAGGCTGACAGCTTCACCTCGGGTTTACAGCACACCTGGAGGGCAGGAAGATTGATGCCCACCACAACTTTCAAGGATCCCTGCATCCCAGAGGATCCTAATTACACTCTTGGTGCTCCTCATTACCTAGGGCACAGGCTCATTCAGGGACAGAAGGTACCTTGTTGACTTTGGTGAGCCTCAGTCTTAGGCAGTCTTTGTGTCTGACCTTCAGGGGTCAACAGTCCTTTCCCATTTCCCAACAGCAGCCAAACTCTACCTTAAACCTATTGTTGGTCCTGTGTGAGATAGAATTCCATGCCCACCCCCTGGGGGCAAAACTCTGTTGACATGTGGAACCCTGGCCCTCCTCCAAGGTCCTGTTAGCTCCTGTTCCTTGCCACCCCTCCACAGATGCAACCGTTTGGCCAACACTCTTCCACCAGAAGCAATGGAGTTTTGCCTGGGGGTGGCAAAAAGCAAACTTAGACATTTGTATCCTTTAAGAGAAGGCCTGGGGAAGGGGGCAAGGTTTCCTTTCTACCTCCATTACCTATCGCATGTCTGAACTACTGCCCAGGGTGTTCTGGTCCCCTGGTCTGCTCCAATCTTTCCTATGAGCACCAGGCCAAGGTCCTTGGGAAAGAACTGTGAGGGTGTATGAAGTCTCTTCAACTGAGCCTTCAGCGCCTCCCAACTGATATGCCAATTGACACAGTCTTTAGAATGAATTGAATTTTTGCTGTGTTCTTACCTGCTTCCACAGTGGCCACTCTTTCTTGTTATTCTCCCTACAGTTTGAGTCCTCTCTCCTGGAGGACACAGCACTCTTTGAAATTTGGCTTGGTCATGTGGTCTGTTTGATTTGCTCAAGGAAAGGTGGTTTTGTAGATCACCCAGCTTTGTCTCCTTAGGTCAATAACAACAGTGTCTTGAGGCTTTCTAACACTTCTTCAGAAGCAGAATCCCAATCACCTACACTAAAGTTGATTTTATATTATTAAGTCAGTTAATGCTTGCTTTCTATCATTGTACCTAATGAAATTTATAATTATTTTTATCTCCACCAGTAGACTTTACTCCCATGAAAACAAAAGGATTGGGTCCAGGATTCCCATGCAGATGGTCAAGTCCCTTTAAAGATGGCTTAGCACTAGCATTTGGCCTACAAGCCTCTTCACATACACTTTCAATCATATCTAAATTATCTATAATACCCAAGTAATTCATCATGCCTGTAGCTGTTAAGCTGTACTGCCCAGAGAATGACGATAAGAAAAAGGTCTGAACAGGTGCCAGGCACAGAGGCACTCACCTGTAATCTCAGCAGCCCAGCAGGCTGAGATAGGAGTATGAGTTCAAAGTCAGCCTCAGCAACTCAGCAAGGCCCCAAGAAACTTACTGAGATTCCGTCTCAAAATAAAAAATGAAAAAAGTTGGAGATGTGGCTCAGTGGTGAAGTGCCCTGGGTTAAAGGTCTAGCAACAAAAATAAAAGTCTGTACATGTTCAGTACGATCCAATATTTTTTCAAATATTTCTGATCCATGGTTCATGGTTACTTGAAGCCACATACGGAACCCAGGGAGAGCTAACAACATTGAATCTTTTCATTATTGTAATTCCTTATATCTGGAATCATATGGGCACACAGTACTCAAAACTAAAATGGAATGACACATATGATAGGCATTCCTCTTTCAAAAACAGAGAACATTAACTAATGCACAGAAAATACTAGCTAATCAAAATATCCACAGAAATACTGGGGAACAGAGAGGCAAAGAGGTATAAAAACCTCAAGGAAAACTCCTGGTTTATGTTCTGAACTACCTGTTTGGTTTTCATTTATCATCTGCACGGAGAATTTGCCTGCCATGCTGACCAAGTTCAAAACATGCGGAACAAATGAGAAAGCTACACCCCAAACACCAAACTCAAATGGAGAAAGCTTCTTCCATTAAGCTCTAAAAAAAGCTGAAAGAAATTAAACATCAAAACACAGAGCAGTAATTCCTTATTGTTTATTCTCCTCTTACAAAAAGACACTTGGAACAAATAAATATAAAATGGTATATATCATATTTATCAATGGCCAAATACACATTTTCTTGTTATCCCCCACAGGAATAAACTGATGAAATTTTCAGAAGCACACTCACCCACCCCTCCCACCTTCTTTAAGGAAAAAAAGTCAATTCTTTTAATTCTCCATAATTTTTAACAATGGATTCTCAAAATAAGTAATCTAAATCTACTCAGGGACAAGACATCTATATCAAAAAGTTAAAAAAAATACACATGTGTACACACTCACACAATGAGTGAAATGATGTTGCCCAGAAACTATAACTAATGAATATTCTTAAAAGTTTTCATTTCTTATGAGTCTTTTGTGTTTAGATCTGCACAGTGTATAAAACAAAGCTGAGTGCAATGTACGTATATATGTACATACTTTCCCATCCTAAAAGAAAGCATTAAATACAGGTATATTTAGTATACACAGAACACAAAATTCTGATTTTCTATACCATGGAGGTAATGCAGAAGGCAGACACATACCAAAACTACATGTGACCAATTTACCCTGACTGTTTGGCTCAAAATAATGTACAAAATTTGAGCAAAGATTAATAACCAAGTGTATTTTTTCACTAAAATTTATCTTTAGGCCAATACTTGAAGAGTTGAGCTTTGCTAATGCTTTCAATTAAAGATTCTTATTTAATGGGTTTTCCATCAAGTGGAAATATGCACAACAGTTATTTCAAGAACAAAGGGGGTGATTTTTCCCTGTCCTTTAAAAAATCATTTGTAAAAATCCATTTCAAGTAATCCCTTAGTTGATGCTTACATAATTTTCCTCTTTATGAAAACAATCTAGAAAGGCAGAAAATAATATAAAATGTTTAAAGGGTCATCATCAAAATAAACAAATGGATTTTAAATTTATTTTTATATAGCTTCTGAACTAGCTAGGTCCCAAGCTGAAAAGCACCTAGAGACAGCTCTGACACCCTAGGTTCAAGTTTCCATGTACATAACAGGTTCAGTTCTCCAAAACACTAGGGGGATGGATTTCAGTTCCATGTCTAAAAGGTAATTCAAAAGAAACTGGTATATATAATAGGGGGTAGATACATTTGAAAATTTTTCTGGGTGAAGATCATTAAACTGTGGCAAGTCACAACTCCATAAGTGCAAATAAACATTGGAAAGCCCAAAGCCAAAGCCAGTACATGAACATGCACAATCCAGGATTCAATGACCAAAGTAACCTCTTCATGGCAGAAGTCAGTGTTTAATGATGGCTGCAGATTATGCCCCCACTCTGAAGTCCCACTCTGTGATAATTCATAAATCCAAACTTAACTCCAGAACGTGTAAATCTGAAGTGTGAATTTGGAGAGACAGTACAAACATCGGTTGAGTGGACCTGCCTGCAACAATTTTTATTTTTAACTTTTTTTCCTTTAAGGCTACAGAAGATCTTCACATAAACAAGGCAATTAATTCTCATAATAAAAATACCCCCTTACAAATAGCCAAAGTGTTCAGTCAGATTCCATGGTGAGTATATGCTGTAGTACATTCTATTCCACAGGTGTACATTCTTGTGAGTCTGCAGGGTTAGGATCCATTCTTTCTGGAAATATCAGCTTCTCACAAACTGCTTCCTTTATTGGTAAATACTGTGATATTTCATTAGGTTCCGTGAACAGGGAAGGTGGGACATGCTAGGAAATACATAAATCACATTAGTATACACTCAGTGCATTGTCACTTTTTGAAAATGTTCTGGCTCAAATATTCTCAAAGTATGTCAATTTCAAAATCAGGGGCAACATATGCATATAAGAAATATTATTAAGTACTACTAAAAATAATCATTCAACTCTCTTATTGAATGCAAAGACCACAGGATTACATAGTTTATAAAGCTCCCATAAATGTCATAAGAATTTAATACAACTTAATTCAATCCCCTATTCTTGTTACTTTGGTAACTTAAAGCATTAGTCTTCAGTTAGAGCCTATTATGTTGTCTAGAACACAATCTGGGCAACTTTTCTAACCCAGTATTCAAAATACCCAGACAAAAATAAGTACTCACAGCAAAAAAGAATACCAAAGTTTGTAGAAAACTATTACTTTTTAAGCAATTCATTATAAATCCCTAAGTACTGAGGAAGCTCTTCCCAAGTCCCCAAAGAGCAAAAAGTATAGGAAAATGTCACAGTAAAGAATTATCACATTTTAGGAAGAATTATCACCTTTTAGGAAGAATTATCACATTTTAGGAAGAAAAAAGGAGACTGTGGAAAGGAATTCTCAAGTAGCAGGTACACAAGGAAAGTACACCTAATTGATGCCAGTTGGAGCTCCACCACCAGCTATATGGCTCAGATGAAGTCACACCCCTGGATCTCAGTTTTTCCAGAATAAAATGTGAAAATTAGACTGAATGATGGCCTATATCTAACAAATCCAAATGTTCTTGTATTTGAGGCAAGTTCAGAAATGATATGCTCCAGGGGATGGAGGGGGGAAGTACTGGGGAGCGATACTGGCCAAATTATATCATTATCTTGTGTGCATGTACAAATATGTAACAATAAATCCCATCATTATGTACAACTATTATGCACCAATAAAAAATGTAGGAAAAAAAATGCTATGCTCCAGTAAGTAGGATTTATCCTATGGAGCTCTATGAATGAATGGACAATCTACAGATGTAAGTTTAATGAATGGGCATGGTTACAAAGATACCATACTTAAAACAAAATTCAATTTCTAAAAACTGAAATTTAAATACTTACCATTAAATTAGCAATTTTGCTCTCTCGTGATGTGTATTCTCGTAACATGTAGGTCTTGTCTGCCTATGTTTAAAAAGTTTAAGGTTGCAATAAATTTATTTGCATTGATTTACTTATTTCTAATCCCTATAAGCCACAGCAATGCTAAATACACATATGTAAACAAATTTAATATTACCAGGTGAAAGAAACATAAGCAGAGGTTTCCTTTGAAAAATTACAGGTATGAGTATAAATAAGATATGCAAGAGATTTTAATTAAGTTAAAACAATATTCTTAAGATTTAGATTTCACTCTCTCTGGAGGAGAAAAATGCAGTATGTCTCTGCTTTAAAAAAAAAAAAAAAATCCTAAGTAAATGATTTAGGAAAATACCACTGGGTTCAAATTCCAGTTCTGCTGCCTCCTAACTCTGGAACTTGGGGGCACTGCTTGACTCTTCTTTGCCTTGGGCACCTCACCTATAGAATGGGTGGTAACAGCATTGATTCCCAGTGCCCGTGATAAGATATAAAGGTACAGTACTGTGACTGCCATGACTAATATCAGCGGTCTATTCTCTAACTCCTCCTCTCCATAATCATAAACCCAAAGTTAAAAGTTCATTCAGAAAGAAAAGGCTAAGATGAAGCTACTGAAAGAGTTTTCTTGAATATGATATGTCAAGAGCTTTGAAATGTTGTGAACAACCAATAAAAAATAAATAAATAAATAAACAAGAGTTTTCTTGATAGTTTAAGCCCTCCCAACACTTTTTTTTAAAAATGCATGCTAACAGTTACTTTAGACAGAACATAAGTTTTCAAACTTTAGAATAGCTATCGATGTAATTAAGTAATACGGATTTCAGGAGGCCATCTGATTGGTATTTCTAACGTCAGAACATTATATGAACAATATGTACTATATACAAAGGAAAAAGTTGAAGGGAAGTTTTCTTAATCATAGATTAAGTGCATACAATGTGTAATAAGAATTGTAAGGCATTCCGCTGTCATGTATTTAAAAAAAATACAGTATCTTTAGAAAACATTTTCAGTCACCAAAACTTCTGGAAAAAAAGATGTGATGTTTTGATAACAATGTGTAGCCAACAGTGAATCTGAGACAAACCCAAAGGTCAGAAATATGCCATCTAACAGAAAGAATTATTTAATTTCCAATTCCCAGAGTGAAAGTGGAACATTAACAAGCCCCATATCGACTGGCACGTTCATTAAAATGAGAACAGGTACCTCATGGTAAAGCCTCGTGTCGTTCATTCTGATAAGCACCCCATCAATCCTCAGGAAAAACCGCAACAGCAGAAAAAAGCTAGAAGGCATTACTCTCTGGGGGCAAAAAGGAACATCAATATTTTAATGAAAATAATATTTTATTACTTTGCTAAAAGAAAAAAAAAATGAAGGCCTTGGAAGAAAGCTAAATTAGCAATAAGAATACTCCTTAATTACAATGGAGTTATGTCCTAATAAACCATTTCAGTTGAAAAAACGTAAGTCAACAATGCATTGAACAGGGCTGGGGTTGTGGCTCAGTGCTAGAGCGCTCACCAAGCACATGTGAGGTCCTGGGTTCGATCCTCAGCACCACATGGAAACAAATAAATTAAAAAATGCACTGAACAGGGCCAGGTTTGTGGCTCAGTGATAGAGCACTTGCCTAGAATGTGTAAAGCCCTGGGTTTGATCCCCGATACCACATTAAAATAAACAAATAAAATAAAGGTATTGTGTCCATCTACAAGTAAAAAAAAAAAAAAAAAAAAAATGCACTGAACACACCCAGCCTGCCAACATGGTAGCTGAGCAACATGCAGCAAGCAGCAGTATCAGCTGTTTACCCTGCTGACCACACAGTTGAGTGGTAGCTGAGGCTCCGTGCCCAGCATCAGGAGTGCCCTACCACATACTGCTAGCCTGGGAAAAGACCAAAATTCAGAATTCCAAGTACAATTTTTACTGAATGCATCTCACTCTTATACCACCACGAAGCCCCCCTCACCAAAAAAAAAAAAAAGAAAATCACAAGTTGAACCATTGTTAAGTCAGGAAATGGAACTGTATGTATATAAAAATCTCTAAACTAGAGAGGCTCTTTGTCCTGGTTGCAACTGGCCTCAAAACCTTGTGCAAACTACCCAATGTCATGGTTTCAATTTCCTACAGTAGAATAATGTTTTTCTAGGTCAAAAGAAACTGAGATACAAAAGATTTATTTCCAAGTAATGTGAAAATTACAATGTTCACTTTAAAAAATGTAACACTGATAGTAAATATCAAACACCAGTAAAACCAAAAATGAACGAACAACCTGGATTCTTGCTGCTACTCACTTGTATTCACTTTACACACAATAAAGAGACCTTGAACTGCACGTTCTAGCTCAATGAACTCAACTAAGCACAATTCATATTGCCAAATATCTGGTTTATCAGAATGATATAACATGTTCTTAACAGTTTTCATTTGTGGCACATCTACAAACTCCCAAGCTTTCCAAATCTAATTCCCAAAGAAAGAAGCCCATAGTCAGTTGAGAGTAAGAAGATGTGTCTTGGTGGCAGAGAGGGGGGCAGTAGAAGGGGTGGAAGGCATTTCATTATTGAAAAAGAATACGCTTGACCATTTGCTAAGTAAATATTTACTGTCTACTAAGTGCCAAGTTTCTTACTACAGGTGGTCTTAGATTTATATCAATGAAAAGATAAAAATCCCAAGGCTTAAAAAGTTTACCAAGCAGGAAAGTGGTCAAAAAGATAAAATAACGTAATTGCTGCTATGATAAAGGCAAGCACAAGAATCAACAAGCAGAGAAGGAAGAATTTAAGTCTACTCAAAAAAGTCAAAGAAGGTAACTCTCGAGCTGCCCGTGAAAAGAATTCCAGACAGGAAAAAGCATGTTCAGAAAGTTTTGAGGCATGAAACAGATACACTCAAGAGAACTACCTCTAATTCCATACAAGCAAATGGCTACTTTAATGAAGAAGTAACAGGACGACCCAGTAATGACAGAGGCATAACTACCTCTGGTCACCAGCCGCGGGTCAAGCTCCTTCCTGCCTTCGGGCCTTTACTCGCCCTGTTCCCTTACTCTGGCTAAGGTTTGCCTGCCCGCCCTTTAGTTCTTGTATAAATAAATACCTCTTCCCAGAGAGAGGCTTTTCTTACCATTGCACATCTAGGTTCCCCTTGCTATCCTCTTCTATGGGACAGCACTAGAAATCAACAGGGTTGAGCCTGTGTTCACTGAGGGTTTTACTTCTTAATGCCCACCTCTTGCCACTTGACTGGAGGCTCCACTACAGAGGGAATCTGCTTCCTTCATCACTGAATCTCACTGCTTAGAAAAGTACTCAGCACATAGCAGGTGCTCACTAAATTTGCCAAGTGAGAGACAGGGTGGATGATATGTGGAGAGAAGGCTCTGAGTCACATAGCATCTTCCTGTGAGCACCCACACAGGCTAAGATCTTCCCCATATTAAAAAAAATCACTCATTCACAAACATACAGCTGCAAAACTCATATTCTCTATTTCCCATGCCTTTGTCTCTTCTCCTGTAATTCTGGTTTTTATATTTGCTCTACATTTATACTTTAGCTCCACTGCTACGTTTTTCATTTACTACCTAGTCATGTAACTTAAATTGTTCTTGCCAAAGTGAACAATATTCTAATTGCTAAAACCAATATACAAACCTTTTAGTCTAATGGACGCCATCCTAATCTAAGCTTACAAGCCCTCTATAACATGACACTGACCTCAATGCTCTCCTTCTCGAAAAGATCTACTTTCTCAGCATCCCAGTGTCCTGCCTACATCATATTTATCAGTCTAGTCTGCTTCTGTAAAAGGGAACTTCACTGTCCACACCTCACTGCCCCTAAGCCAGATACTACAGCATTAATTTTATTTAGAACAGATGTGTTACATTGTTAGGGAAAAAAACAAGCCAGAAAGAGCACTAGTATAATAAAATCCTTCCAGGCATTCTCAAAAAATGCAATCCTGGCACCTAACTTAACACAAGTTACATTCAGAAGGAAGAAAGAACACTCGAGGATGACGTTACTCATCAATTTGAGACCTACTGTTCACTCTGGTACACACTTTCATCCTCAAAATACACATGCTCCTCCAACACGCTAGATACACCCACCACTTGGACACAAACACACATGCAAACCACAGCCAACACTGCTAATTCAGTGGGTGGGTAGACAAGTGGAAGGGGACATGACTAGATGAGTTGGTGGTAAATAAATCTAAATGAAAAGGAACAAACTGATCACATTTCCTGTATAAACGAACATGGAACAAGGACACTCACCTTTCTGTATAAATAATATGTACCAATAAAAACATAAAAAAGGAAATTTGGAGTTACAAGTGAGCAAGGGAGTGAGGTGCTACAAAACAACTACCTAATACTAGAATAATGATATATATTAGATGGTACAAAGAAAATCTTGCAGCTAATTAGTCTCACAGTCTTAGATAAACAAATCTTTTAGGGGCCTAGTTTACAAAATATGCAGGCTGAACTTAATGAGCCTCTAAAAATTCATTTTAGTTGCAAAATTCTATGATTCCACAGGAAAAAACCTGACTTTAAAACAAATATATTGTTCCTTTTGTATTACTGCTTTCATTCTTTATTATTGCTCAAATCCCAGTACCCATATCATTGTGCTCCAGAATAATGCCTGATGCTGAGGTATCTCTGAGAGACTCCTGATCATGCTTATATAACTATGAGGTTTGAAATAAAAGTACTTATTACAGGGATATGAAAAAGGCATACTGGACTTTGCCTAAGGGAATGTGAAAGTCCATACAGAGGCAGCAGTATTGTAGCTGGGACTTAAAGGCTAAGAAATTTAGTAAAAAGTTTCTGTTAAATTTTTTTTGGGAATGTATTAGAAACCCAATTATAATCCAGTAGTAAATAAATATGAATAACTGCTTGTGGCCTATTTATTACTTCTTTAAAGCATGCTTCACCAATAACATTATTAATGGGAGTTGTATGGCTCCACTGATAGAATTTACAAGTCACTGTTCTTCTCTACGTCTATGCTAAAAAATGAGACGAGAGTTTAAGGATACTCTAATAGCCTACACATGGGCCATCCACCTTGCTGTCTGCAAAATGGGAAAAGTAAGCTATTGTTTTCATTCAGGTTAAGTAATAGGCAAATGAAATACAAAGTACAGGCAAGTATTTTAAAAAAATGCTTTACTGAAGTAAAGTCTTAATATACTGAGATTTTTTTTAATAATGTATAACAGATATTCAATACAATATATTCTAGACCCAAATGAAACTGTATATTGGCACTATGTTAAGACTCAGTGTGATGCCAAGTCAGTCTTACATTTCTGCCCAATAGCAAGAATGGAATAAAAATGTCAATTTAACAAAAATCACAACACACTACTCACAATTTTCACACTCAGGCTTGAAACACCATGATCATGAAGTTCATCCTCAAACAGGAGAACTTCTTCAAAAAATTTAATCTGTTCTCTGGCTTTCAATTTCTCTGTATCTATATGATCTGTTGTAGGTACAACCTGGAAGAAAAAAATTAAACACATTAAAAAAATTTTAAAGAGCTACAAAGTCACAAGAAAGTCGTTTTTCCTCCCAGCCTCTCCTACATGGCCAGAGTGTACAGTTCTGATGTGGGAGTCATCAGTACACCTTAAAGAATGGGTGTGCCTTGACTTGGAAAAACTGAAGACACTAACTACATTCGGTATTCCAGCTTCAAAAGTCAAAAAGTCAAAAGTCAAAAGTCCCCACCCTTCATACAAGTCAGATGAAAATCAAGTGTTATAATACAACTAAGAAAATTAACCAATTAAAAACTGGTAAATGTGATGAACTACAACTAACAAAGAAATTTGAACTATTAACTATCACAGAAGTTTTGAGCTATGAAAGCAGGCTTATAAATATTTTTTTGGAATTTAAAAATATTTTCCCATTAAAATGTTCTATCTTTAATTCCCAGCCTAATTTCTCAAAACCTACAAAGAAAGGTACTCTGAATAATGAGATAAACAAGAGCTTTAGAGAAACCCTGAGGGTAAATCCTGGACCACACAGGACTTTGAACAATACTGGCAATCTTTTCAATATACTATTTTGTAGTTCATACATACACACACACACACACACACACACACACACACACACACATTCTCTCCCTCTGTCCAACAAAAGCATTAATAATCCCAATGCATACTGTTATCAGGAGCTCACTAAACCCAGTGTCTCATAATAGTAGCACCAAAATTATTTGGCATTTGTCATTCCCCTCTTTCTTTTTTCAACTTTTTTTTGCGGGGGGACACAGGAAGTGATACTGGGGATTGAACCCAGGGTACTTGACCACTAAGCTACATCCCCAGCCCTTTGTTTGAGGCAAGGTCTCACTAGGTTGCCTCGGTTGGCCTGGAACTTGGAAATTCTCCTGTCTCAGCCTCCCAAGTTGATGGGATCACTGGAATGATGGGATCACTACTATATCCATTTCCACCATAAAATGTTCAGTTTATCTGTTATTGACATGGTTTATCATAAACATAAAAATGATTGTCCAAACTATAGGTATTCGGTAAATGGCAGCTATTATTTTGCTCTATTAACAGTCATGGTAAGGTCATTTCCTTAACTACGAACAGAATCAGAAAAAGAGTACTACAGAGCAATAACAAAAACAGCATGGTACTGGTACCAAAACAAGCGGGTGGACCAATGGTACAGAATAGAGGACACAGAGACTAATCCACAAAGTTACAACTATCTTATATTTGATAAAGGGGCTAAAA